AAACAGCTGCAAGATGAAAAAATAATGGTCACCATTGGCCTCCACCATGCATCAGAGAGCAGCAGATTGGACAGTACAGAAAAAACGGAGCTTACTGTTTTTTTTTAAATCTGGGAAATTTCTTCCAGAACTAAAAAATCCAAAAGATAAAGACACTGAGCAAATAAAAGTTAACCTGGAAAACAGAAGTAGGGGATGCAACATAATCATTCCAAAAGAAGAAAGCAGCCACAGTTGCTGAAGAAATACTTTCCTTAAGCTTGAAAACATAAACGTTAATGTTGTGCAGCTAGTTTGCATTACAAAGAAAAATCTTAGAAGCCTCAAGGTGAAAATAAGAGCAGGTGACTGACAACGGAATAGCTGACCAAGCTAGCTTGAGGCGTCTCATCAACTACCGAACAGGAGTGCGTGCTGAGAGGCCCGCGGGCTCCACACAGTGTGACCCAGGAGGTCCTTTATCTGCAAAGCCAGGAATGCAGACCAGAACCCAGAAAGATCTGCGCAGGCACAGGGCATTTCCCAGCGTACACACACCTCTCACCCGCCTTTGCTGGGGGAAAACTGTTCCTCTTCAGCTCGATAGCAACTGCATCAAGATAGGAAGCCCCCACATGGAGAAGATGTGGTATAGAAAAACCAGTGAGAATGTGTCTACGGAGCTTCTGTCCCCTTAGTTCTACTAGGACAGACATCAAAGTCATCTCTTAGGGCCCAGCACTGTGGCATAGTAGATAAAGCTGCCTCCTGCAATACCAGCATCCCATATGGCTCTGGATCAAGTCTCTGCTGCTCCACTCCTGATTCAGCTCCTGCTAATGCACATGGAACAGCAGCAGAAAATGGCCCAAGTGCTTGGGCCCTTGCTACCCATGTGGGAGACCTGGAAGAAGCTCCTGGCTCCTGGTTTCAGCCTGTCGCAGCTCTGGCCACTGCAGCCATCTGGGGAGTGAATCAGCAGATGGGAGATCTCTCTCACTCTCTTTAACTCTGGGATTCAAACACATAAATAAATCTTTCTAAAAATTACCTGTTAAAATAGAAATCACATATATGCAGGGTCTTCAAAAAGTTCATAGAAATGTGTTCTTGGAAAAAATTGAAATCCCTGCATAGTTTTTTTCAAACAAAATCAACTTTTAATTCCATTTTCCACAAACTTTTTGAAGTACTCTTATAAAAATAATGCAATAGGGGTATGAAATTAGATTAACTGGTAACTGGGGACAAGAAGATGGAGGAAGTAAAAGTGTGAAAAGTTATCCAGTAGAGCACTCAATTTCATTCTTAACATGTATAATTAGAGAAAATAGGTTAAATTTCTTTTTTTTTAAAAAAGATTTTATTTGAGAGGTGGGGTTACAGACAGTGAGAGATACAGAGAGAAAGGTCTTCCATGTACTGCTTCACTGCCCAAATGGCTACAATGGCCAGAGCTACACCAATCCAAAGCCAGGAGCCAGGAGCTTCCTCTGGGTCTCCCACATGGGTGCAGGGGCCCAAGCACATGGACCATCTTCTTTCTTTCCCAGGCCACAGCAGAGAACTGGACCAGAAGAGGAGCAACTGGGACTCAAACCGGCACCCATATGGGATGCCAGCGCCACAGGCAGAGGATTACCTACTGTGCCACAGCACCAGCCCTGGTTCAATTTATTAAAAATCTAAACCAATATATTAACAAGATATATTCAAAATCACTCTAAAGAAAAAGAAGTCAAACAAAATCCTTTAAGCAAAAGACAAAAAAAAAAGAAAACTACTAGAAAAAATTTATAATTTTTTTTAAAAAAACAATGGTTATTTCCTTTTTTAAAAGATTTATTTCTCTGAAAGGTATAATTACAGAGAGAATGAGAGTCAGAGATCTTTCATACCCTGATTCACTTTCCCAAATGGCCCAATGGCCAGGGCTGGGCCAAGACAAAGCCAGGAGCTTCCTCTGGGTCTCCCACATTGGTGCAGGGACCCAAACACTTGGGCCATCATCTGAAGGTTGCTTTCCCAGGCCATTAGCAGGGAGCTGGATCAGAAGTGGAGCAGTAGGGACTCGAACCAGTGCCCATATGGGATGCTGGTGTACCAGGCTACGCCACAACACTGATCCCAAAACAGTGGTTATTTCTCAGTGATAAAATGACAAGTAATTTTCTTAAATCTGTGTTTGCTTACGATGAGCATATTTTACTTTTTAAATAACAAATTATAAAACCCTTGGAGGAAGTGGTTATAAAAAGTTGCTTTGTGTGTAACACATCACTGGTAAAACCGCTGAAAGATGAAAGCCCGCAGTGGTAGTCCTAATTAGGTTTTCTCAAGGTGCCCGACTCTTTTGCATCTTTTTTTTCCCCTGGTGGTATTAATTGAGCATTTTACATCTCATGAACTACCAGATCAATACAATCTGAAATCATTATAGGGCTCCTGTGTTTGTGTCCGGAAGACTGAAGCTATCTGGGTGATTTCCATCTGCAGGGTTTGTGAGAACCCAGTAAATTCCCATTGGCTGTGTCATTTCAATCAAAACAGCTGCGCCCTGCCTGCTTTGTCCTTTGTTTTGTCCTGTCGCTGAGAGCTGAAGCCTTTGCTCCGTCCGTCCGTCCGTGGCTCCGTTACAAAGCCGGTCTCCAACACTCACCACTAGGACAGCTCACCCCTCGCCCCTGTAGAGGTGTGGACCATTAGTACCCTGGAGCAAGGGCTTTGCAGTGGAGCTTCCATTCAGGGCCAGGCTGACTCCAGACTGTAGTGTGGGACATGTTAGTGCTTGGGTGTGGTTCCCAGAGGAGACAATGGAGAACAGGAGAAAGGGCTATGGTTTATAGTGAGGATTTCTCCAAAATTACAAATGCGCTGTTCAGACATCCGCACTGCCTGCTGTAGGATAAGCTCCAGGCTGTGTTGATTGCCTACTGGTGGCAAAGCATGTTCAGGTGGCCCTAGGCCTGCAGGCTTTCATGTGCTTAATCAAGGACCAAGCTCCTGCCATCCGGGACCACCAAGGACCCTCCCTTCTCCCCAGTTTTGGTGGACTTCTGTTCAGCCAGCAGCTGGGGAAAGAGAAAGGGGGATGGCGCAGGGGAGGTGTGTAGGGACCAAGCCTGGAAGTGGAGCTGTCACTTCTGTTGGTCACATGGTCATACCCAACTGCAAAGGAGGCTGGGAAGTGTAGGCTGTGTGCCCAGGAGGAAAAGGAACTTGGGTTAGGGAATTGCCAGGGTGTCCCTGGCCAGACTTTATCATTCTCTTCTTCCCTGCTCCCTTCAGAGAGCAGTATACCTAAGCTAAGCTTAATCAACTTTAAAAAAAAAAAAAAAAAAAAAAAAAGACCCAAGTCTCCTGGTTGGAATAGGCTGAGTTTTCTCTGGGTTTTTGATGTTTGTAGGGTGAATATGTGAGGTTTCTGTCCACAGAGACCAAGCCTGAGGTCAACTCTTAACATCTTTAAGGTTGACCCCTACCCATGGGCTCTGCATCCATGAGTCAACCAACTACAAATTGAAAATATTTGAAAAGTAATGCGTCTGTCCTAAACACAGAGAGACTTTCTCCTGTCATTACTCCTTGGACAACAAATTCAACAACTGTTTATATTAGGTATTTTTTTAAAGATTTATTAGAAAGGCAGAGGTAGAGAGAGAGAAGACATGATAGAGAAACGGAGGGGCTGGTGTTCTGGCACAGCGGGTAAAGCCACTGCCTGCGATGCTGGCATCCCATATGGCTGCCAGTTCTACTTCCGATCCAGGTCCCTACTAGTGGACTAGGAAGGTAGTGGAATATGGAATATGGTCCAAGTGTTTGGGCCTCTGCCACCCATGTGGGAGACCTGGATGAAGCTCCTGGTCCCTGGCTTCAGCCTGGCCCAGACCTGGTCATTGCAACCATTTGAGGAGTGAACCAGTGGATGGAAGATTTCTCCCTCTTCTTCTCCATCTTCCTTCCCTCTCTCCCTCTTATTTAAGATTTATTTATTTATTTAGAAGTCATAGTTACAGAAGGAGAACGGGGAGAGGGAGAAAGAGAGAGATAGCTTCTATCTGCTGATTCACTCCCCAGATGTCCACAATGGCCAGGGTTGGGCCAAGCCAAAGCCAGGAGATGGGACTCCATCCTGGTCTCTCATATGGGTGCAGGGGCCCAAACAGGCCATCTTCTTCTGCTTTCCCAGGCTCATCAGCAGGGAGCTAGATTGGAAGTGCAGTAGCCAGAACTCACAGTGACACTCACATGGGATGCCAGCATCACAAGCAGCAGTTGAACCTGCTGTACCACAATGCTGGTCCCTACATGAGGTATTAAAAGTAATCTACAGATGATTTACAGTATACAAGGAGGTGTGCAGAAGTTATCAAAGGTACTTCAAAAAGGTCATGGAAATTAAAAATAAGTTTCTTTTGGTGCAAAAATATTTGAAATCTATGCATATAAAAGGGTCATAATAAACTCATGGAAAATGCATTTTGTGAAACAAAAACTATGCAGAGATTTCACAATGTTTTGCACCAAAATACGCCTGCCTTTTAATTCTGTTTTTGCATGAACTATCTGAAGTCCCCACGCATGCAGATATTACAGTATCTTGTCCAAGGGGCTTGAGCATGGCCGATTTTGGTCTCCACAGGAGGTCCTGGAACCAATCCCCTTGGATCCTGAGGGATGACTGGCTTTTCTCTCTCCTTCCTCTGTATCCCCTTTTAGCAGTAAAAACAGGAGACAGTCACATGACTTTTCACAATTCCCTTCCAACCTAGACTCCTTACCTGTGAATGACACAGTAAGCATAAGAACGCCTAGTGCTATAACTAGCTTATGTGGCGAGGTTCTAATTTGAAATATTGTTTGTTTTCATACTGTAAAGTTCTCACTTTATGAAATTTCAAAAATTAGAAAAGAATATAATTACCCGTAATCTGGTCATTCTTAAGATCTCAGTGTCTTTCCTCTGGAATAAAATCTTGATTAAAGGGTTTTCCTCTAAAACAATTAGCCACACAAACCTCAAATGGAAGAGGGAAGTGAACATTGATGCCACAGGACAGAAGCCCGCCCACTCCTGTGTCCTGAAGGCTGCTGAGCTCTGCCTTAAATGCACCTCTGTGTGCCTCAGTTTCCTCGCTTCAAACGAGAAGCTTCCTCCACCCGATCTGCATCTGCAAACCACAAATGAAAAACATGCAATGTTCCAAAAAAGTAATCACCCCCACCCCGTGTGTTGACACATCCGCCCCACAGAGGCTCCAAGGGATTCTTGGTTCAAAGACTCAAAAAAAGGAAGCATTTTTTTTCCTAAGGGAAGATTGAGGGTTTCCTGCCAACCGCGTTACCTAACAATTTTGATATTTCTAAAGAGAATAGACACACAGAAACGGCGAAGGCAGGTAGCCCTGGGCTGCAACGAGGCTGTTCTTCCAACAAAGCCAGAACAGAATTCCCCAGCCAGCAGGACTGGGCCCCGGTTCCCAGAGCTGTGCACGTTCTGACGCAAAGCCAGCTGGGCAGAGCGGAACATAGATGTCCATATTTACTTTGTGCATGGCAGTGGGAATCCAGGCCTTTTCAAAATGCTGGTTGACACCCAAGAAGTTGTAATTAGAGTAAGGGACTTTCTGGTTTGCAGATAGAGGAGAAAGAATGAGCTCTTTGAAATTGCTAAAGGGCTAAGAGAAGTGGGGAGGTTTGGCTTTCCATCTTCAAAGCAGAATCATGACCTGCAATTTCCTTTCTTTCTTTCTTTCTTTTTTTTTTTTTTTTTTTCTTGAAATTATGAAGGGTCAAGGTAGGGATAGGAGGAGCTGCCTGGAGGCTGGGGCCGTGAGGAGCAAGAAGGAGTCAGCTGTCCGGGGCGTGGCCCTTCTGTTTCCATGTCATTTTCATCAACAATGAGTCTAAAACACAGACTTGCAGGCAACAAGGGGACTCTCATGCCTGCCTCCCATCTCTGCAAGCCCCGTGGGTGAGGAGGGAAAGGGTGCTCCCGGCAGGGGTGGGGTGCAGGTTGCAGGGAAGAGGCCAAGCTGAAATACATGTGCTCTGCATACTCCCATGGATACAGACTGGCTTCAGCCCCCACTTCACACGATCCTACTGAGGTTTTGTTCTAGATTCCTAAGCCTCTTTGCTAATTAAAGCCATTTGCCTTGGAAATCCTAGCCCTTTGAATGCTCAAATACCCCCTGAGAATTTCATGTAAGCCTTGATTTGTTTATTCTCCAAATCAAAGAGTTGTCTTCCCTGCAGAAGGTGTCCATCAAGGATTTCTTAACCCCATGTCCATTCATTCTGTTTCTCTCTCTGTCACACACACACACAGTGATGATGTGGTGTGTTAGAAAGAACAAGAGCCTTAAAGAATACCAAGAGTTCTGATCTCAGCTTTGCCACTGAACAACCTTAACCTTCCTCAGCCCTACTTTCTTTGTAAGGCCGGGATAGTGGGGATTTGCTCACAGGATTTCTGTGAGGATGAAAGAGAATTCTCTATAAACGCTGAGCACCATACCTGCAGTTAGCAGACAATCTATTAAAAATAGCTACTATTAATAATAGTTGCCATCACTGTTATCAGAAAATCCACCTTGGGTTAAAAACTCCACACCAGGCTGGCGCCGTGGCTCAATAGGCTAATCCTCCACCTTGCGCGCCGGCACACCAGGTTCTAGTCCCGGTCGGGGCACCGGATTCTTTCCCGGTTGCCCTTCTTCCAGGCCAGCTCTCTGCTATGGCCCGGGAGTGCAGTGGAGGATGGCCCAAGTGCTTGGGCCCTGCACCCCATGGGAGACCAGGATAAGCACCTGGCTCCTGCCTTCAGATCAGCGCGGTGCACTGGCCGCAGCGGCCATTGGAGGATGAACCAACGGCAAATAGGAAGACCTTTCTCTGTCTCTCTCTCTCACTGTCCACTCTGCCTGTCAAAAAAAACAAACAAACAAAAAAAAACACCTGAATACTTTAAAAATCCACATGAAAATGCTTTGCCAGGCTCCTATTCCATCTAATCTCATTTTGTCCTCTTATTAGAGTTCAAAAATGTGTGTGTGTGTAGGGGGCGAGGGGTGCTCAGTGGTGTCTCGTGAGCCAGCCCCCTGCCCCTTCCACTCCTGTTACCCCTCGTTGTGGACATGCCCGTGCAGACATCTGTCTTGAATCTCTCTGTATCCTGCAGCCAGTGCTCCCTTGCAGGGATACTAAGTCCCACCTGCACGGGTCCCCTGGTTTCTCCCGTAGCACTAGAGCCTGCGGCACCAGGGAGTGCCCCCTTCCTCACTGCCCGGTGCTTTGTAGACTTGGCCGTGTGCCCGCTCCGCCTTTGTCCCGCTGGCCTGGGACAGCATCCTCATTTTCTACAGCTCTGTCTGAGCAGACAAAGTTCCAGCGCTAGTCCTTTCTACCCACAAGCCCTTTGGCCAGGTCGCTGAAGCTTTTTCCCTCTTCTGAGAAACAGACCGACAGTGCTTACTGCACAGGTGGGTTTGAGGGTTACTAAGGTAGTGGGGTTGAGGAGGGCACAGTTTTAAAGCCAGTCTAGGATCAGGGTACGGGAAACCTCAAACTGGGTCAAAATTAGCCCGTGGTGGGGAAGGACAGTTAGTCAATCTTTGGTCAAGTGTCGGGTTACAGGAAAAGCAGGCGTTCCCTCAGGAGATCAAGAGGCTTGGGATAGGAGAGTGGCAGCGACACAAACAGGGTGGCCGAGGAACCGAAGCCTTTCATTGTTCTCTTAAATCAAAGCCCCTTCGCTCTTAAAGGATGGTACTGCGAAGAAGCTAAACTGTTCGCACACTGCTTTGTAACTATTACTTAAAAGACACTCGCTGTCCTTGGTTTCCTTAGCGAACAAGTTACGTGATGATACTGCGTCATCTCTGCTCCAAAAAGAGCTTGAGTTCCCCGGATCCATCACGGGGAGGTGGATTTGCTCCTGCTGCTGTCAATGGCGTCACCATTCTGTCCTCTGCTGACTCACCGCTCGATGGAAAACTGCCCTGGCATCCCCATGCCCACCCACGCCCCGGGAGACGCCCTCCCTGGGCTCTCCATGGCCAGGCGTTCCTTTCTCTGGGGAAGGCTGGGAGCTGTGCATTCCAGGGCCATCCTGCCTATGCCTTCCTCTCCAGGATCCTAGATCCTTATCCTCTCCTACGTGGCCCAGGGTCGCCATTGCAGTGTCCCTGGGGACAGGCGCCTGTGCTCCAGAGCATTTACCTATCTAAGCCCAGGATTAGCTTTTCTGCCACCCCAGGTACAGGCTTCCGTTGGCGGCTTCTCCTCCACACCGTGGCTGATTGCGCAAGACCACACGTTGCTTGCTTCCTTCCTGGGCTTGGCGCAGGCTCCCTGGGACCTGGGCTGAGCTTACCCAGTCCAGGGGGGTGGGGTGGGGAGAATCCAGCCGGGCCCCTGGAGCGTCCAGGTGTGCAGCTCTGATTGACAGGCTCAGCCGCCACCCCCAGAGCCGCCTGCAACTCCCCTCCTCTCTAGGTCAGTCTACTGCCTTTTCTCCCTGGACGCTCCAGAGGCATCAGTTTGACTTTCACCACTGTAGTTTCTGCAGAGAAAAATACTTAGTTCTGAGTGAAAACCTTGGCTCAGGTTCCATACCTAGACGGCAGACATCATTGGGAAATTGTCCGCGCATTAGCCAGGATATTGAGGAAGTCGTGAAATGCCTATAAATGACGTCAGCTTTGCAAGGGGGCAAACGTGCTCGAAACTTTTGGACATCTGGGAAAGAGAGCAGAGAGCCTGGTTTTAGCAGCTGCCGCGGGCCAGCCCGGCACAAAGTCCAATTAGGGCTGCTTCTATGGGGGGCAGTGGTTCTCAGGGGCGTGCCCCCTGCCTCGCTCCCCCCACCCCCGCCCGGCTGCCTGCAGGGGCTGTCCAGATGCTGTCTCCTTGTGCTTCTGAACCAGCGACCCCCCCCCCTCCACTCCCTCGGGGAACTGAAGTCGGGATTTCCTTGCCCCTCAATTGCTATTCCAGACCCTCTTCCTGTGAGGGGGCCGGGCTCCAGGCCCTATTAGGAGGTTTGTGGTCTCTGGGCAGAGCTTCCATAGCTTCCCCGGGAGGATGGCGCGTCTGCAGGATGTGAGTTTTGTTCACGTCTTGGCTAGGCCTCCCGTCCATTTCATAGCAACCAGAACCGGCAGCTTTGATAGCGCCGCTGCCGGTGCGTGTGCGTATGCGTCTGAGGTCTGTTCCGAAAACAGGAACATTTGCTTTTCCTATCAGCCCCAGGGCTAATCAGACTCGGAGCTCCGAGGCGACGGCTCGGGGTCCCCGGGCCAGCCCGCACCCTCCACTTGCATTCACAAGGATGCCTCCTTGGGGTGCTCCTGATTCCTCATGCTGTCGCCTATGTGGCTTGTATTTTTTTCCCCTTTCCTATGTGATTTTTTGTCTCTGCGGCTTTACTTCCCTCACTTGATACCTTTCTGAATTTTCAGAAAAAGGAGGAAAATAAAAGGGGGGGGGTTTGAAAATGAGAAAAAAAAAAAAGAGCTTCAGGGCCTGAGAGGCTGAGACTTTCTTGGGGAAGATGCTGGCGATTTGGGGCGCTTCCTTGTAAAGCTTATTTTCATGTGCTCTGAGTTACTGAGCACATCCCCGCGTCATGGGCGGCTGCACACCTGCCTCCCCAGGAACCGTCTGTCTGTGGGGTGCCGGGGGTGCCCTGCTGAGTCCGGTGATGACGGAGACCCCAGCCAAGAACCATCTCGGCCCCTTCCTGTGCTTCCTGCTTCACACTTGGCACACACAGGGATTTGGGCGAGTGTGCTTGGCCCCAGCTGGCACAGCCCCTCTGGGGACGGATGCACGCCCGCGCCTCACCCTCTGTCCAGGGCTGACTCGCTGTGGGGGACTGTCAGGTGGTCTGTCCTTCCTGTCCACTTGCTTCTCGGGTGCAAGTCCCCTGCTCAACCCACTGTGACGAGCTCCGAAGCTGCCCAACACACCAGTGGCAATAGAGCCCCTCCTGTGGCGGACTCGAGTGAGGACAGCACCCTTGGTGGATCCCCGCGTTTCTCGAGTGAGGACAGCACCCTTGGTGGATCCCCGCCCTAAACGCTGCTTCTAAGGTGTCCTCGAGAACATCCGGGGAATGCATGCCATGAGCTAGAGACGGCTACGTGTGCATGTTTCGGTCAGCGCTCTCTTATGTCATCCTTAGTGGAGGCTCAAGAGCTGTTTTAGTATCTGAGTTTTTATTTTCAAGAAGTTACAGAATACATTCCTTGTGAAATTAGGTGAAGGGCGTTGTAGACTGAACTGTCCCTTGAGGACTGTGATGGTTGACTGGCCTCAGGAACCCGTGCTTTTTGGTGGAACGTGGTCCTCAGCCTCGCTTGTGCCCTGGTCTCTGCACACCCCAAGCTACCTGCCCTCACCTGCAACTGCGGTGCAGCCTGGCTTTCTAGCTGGGCCCTGCTGGCTTCCACCCGAGCTGGGTGAAGTGCAGGATGCTCCTCTGCTGTGTCTGGGATGCTGTGAAGCAGCAGGCACATGAAGTCCTCTCTGGGAATAGAAGCCACAGTGAAGCTTGCTTTCTTGCTGAGTCTATCCTGCGTGGCGGGCAGGGGGAGGGGAAGCGTGTATTCCCACTGAATGTCTCCTGTGGGTCCTTGCTGAGATTGCCAGGAAGAGTGGAGCAAGATCTGCTATGCGGCTCTGCTGTGGCCAGGGAGTGCAGTGGAGGAAGGCCCAAGTACTTGGGCCCTGCACCCCATGGGAGACCAGGATAAGTACCTGGCTCCTGCCATCGGATCAGCGCGGTGCGCCAGCCACAGCGCGCTGGCCATTGGAGGGTGAACCAACGGCAAAAGGAAGACCTTTCTCTCTCTCTCTCACTGTCCACTCTGCCTGTCAAAAAATAAAAAAAATGAAAAAAAGTGCTATAAAAAAAATCTGCTACATGGCTCTAGCACGTGGATGGCTTTCTGCACACTCACCACTTACCTGACTCCTTTGCTACTCCCACCTTTGTTTCCCTCTGACCTGACCGCTCCTTGCCTCACTCACTGCGTGGTACATGCACTCTCTTCCCTCTTTCTCCATCACGTGGGCACCTCTGCCTCATGTGCATCCCTACTTGTACGCAGCCCGCCCTCCCCAGGACACGCATGAGAAGAGGCACAGCATCATCACCCAGGGGAAATGAGAACGTGAGGTTCAGTCCATGCCTCAGCAGAGAGATGTGCCCGGAAACATGTCCAGAGATTTCTGTTGACCAGATGCTTCAGCACCATAGAATCTCAGCAGACTTAGGATTTCAGAACCACCCAGGAGTTTGAGGAGCTGGACAAAGACCAGCTCCAAAAGGAGCCCAGAAGGACTGTTGTTGCTTTACTTTCCCTGTGTGTCTCCAACCATGGCACACGTCAGTGTCACCTGCAGGGTGGACGTCACCACATAACAATTCTGGCTCAATGAGCTCCACTTATAAAAACTCACCTAGAGGGTTGAGCATGAGCTGCAGCAGGTTAAGCCACTGTCTGGAGTGCCGGTTCCAGGCCCAGCTCCTTTGCTTCTACTCCAGCTTCCCGGGAAGGCAGCAGCTGCCCCTGCCCCCTAAGTGGGAGACCCAGATAGAGTTCCAGCCTCCTGGCTCCAGCTGTTTGAGGAGTGAACCAGCAGAGGGAGATCTGTGTCTCCCCCCGTTACTTTGCTTTTCAAACAAGTTTTTTCATCTTTGAAAAACATATCAGTAAGTTTTAAATAAATCACCTAGAGAACTTGTCACGTGAATCCTGGGCCCTGCCCCCAAAGGCCCTAATTCAGTAGGTCTAGGGTGGAGCCCGTGAACTTGGCTTTCAGACAAGCTCCCAGGGATGTGAAGATGCAGGTCAGTCCACGGACCGTACTTGAAGGGGTCTAGCCCAAAACCTGACCAGGGCCTGCCCCTGGCTGCTTAGAGGTAGTTGTTTAAATGGCCTTTTGTGGAGCCCATCAAAAACCTCTTTGAACATCTAACTCGAATTTGATGCACTAATTTGCAGCCCCTTCATCTCTCCATGTTTGATCCTTGACAAATTTAGGGAGCACAGAAAAGCCAGTGACGGGAGGTACAGCAGACCCTGCTGGCTACCACTGCACGCCACTGGCTGGGGCTGCTCCTCAGCCACCCAGCTAGGAACCCTCGAACCACGGCAGTCATAGAGGCTACAGCTTGGTGGAGAATCCACAGCCAGGAGCCCCAGGTCAACATTGCCACCAGCTTTGGCCTCCTCTGCCTATCCTCCCTTGTCAAAGTTATGGCCATGGGGCATGAGGGATGCCAAACATGTAGTTACACCTCAGTGAACTTCCAGAAGGAAAGAGCATGCTATGCCATGGAGGTCTTGTCACATGAGGTGCTTCATCAGTATCTTGGGGGTGTCATTGATGCTAACAGCCAAGTGTTGTGCAATACAGCACCTAACAGGTCTTACTCGTCTCTCACTGAATCTCAGAGCCACTCATGGGACAGGTAGACCCCCCATTTCAGAGAGGTCAAGGCCAAATTCCTTCTTCCAGGTCACAGAGTAAGGATGGGTGCCTGGCCCCAAAGCCCAGGCTTTTCTTAAAAAAAAATTTTTTTTATTTATTTGAAAGAATATTTATTTATTTGCAAAAATCCGATGGTTCACTTCCCAGATAGCCGCAATGGCCAGAGCTGCACCGATCTAAAGCGAGGGGCTTCTCCCGGGTCTCCCATGTGAGTGCAGGGGCCCAAGGACTTGAGCCGTCTTCTACTGCTTTCCCAGGCCATAGCAGAGAGCTGGATCGGAAGAGGAACAGCCGGGACTAGAACCGGTGCCCACATGGGATGCTGCGCTTCAGGCCAGGGCTTTAACATGCTACACCACAGCACCAGCACCCCAGGCTTTTCAATACCACACATTCTCACCTTCCATGTCAAGGATCCAGTTCTGTTTTTAGCCTCTGCTTTTTCCACTGGGATTTTGGGACTTCTAAAGTTATGCCCCTTCTAGAAGCAATTCACTAATAGGAAGACAGTTGAGATTAGAAATGCTGTGCCCATCGGCCGGCACTGCGGCTCACTAGGCTAATCCTACACCTAGCGGCGCCGGCACACCGGGTTCTAGCCCTGGTCAGGGCGCCGGATTCTGTCCCAGTTGCCCCTCTTCCAGTCCAGCTCTCTGCTGTGGCCCGGGAGTGCAGTGGAGGATGGCCCAAGTCCTTGGGCCCTGCACCCCATGGGAGACCAGGAAAAGCACCTGGCTCCTGGCTTCAGATCAGCGCGGTGCGCCAGCCGTGGCAGCCATTGGAGGGTGAACCAACGGCAAAGGAAGACCTTTCTCTTTGTCTCTCTTACTATCCACTCTGCCTGTCAAAAAAAAAAAAAAAAAAATGCTTTAAATGCTTTGCCCTTTCTTAGCAAGCAAGACCTCTAAAAACATTTTTCAGCAAAATGGAATGGGACTCACTCCCCACACCTCAGCATAGGAGGAGCTGCTAAAAGCAGCAGCACAAGGGCTGGCACTGTGGCGCAGTGGGTTACGCCTCCGCCAGGATCCCACATGGGCGCCAGTTCATGTAATTCAGCTGTCTGCTAATGGCCTGGAAAAGCAGCAGCAGATGACCCCAGTCCTTGGGCCCCTGCACCCACATGGGACCCCCAGATGAAGCTCCTGGCTTTGGCCTGGCCATTTGTGGGGTGGACTGGATTGGCAGATAGAGGGGGAGGGAGAGATCCCCTGCCTCTCGAATAAATAAATCTTACAGCAGCACAAACCGCAGTGCCTGTGCCATTGTGAACAGCTGCCTGCTCTACCTCCAGGGTTACTTGAACTAGATGAGGCTGTGGGAATGGAACAAAAATCAAATTGATGCCTTTTGTGCTGCGATGCGTTATGCAGGACAGTGCTTACGATGGGCCAGCTGTTTCTATTCCTGTCTGAAAGCCAAGGAAAGAAACCCGGGACACGAGCTCATGAGACTTACTGTGCCAGGGCTATGAGCAAGAACAGACCCTCCCCTAGCCCTGCCCCCTCTCTTCCAGCAGTGCCCATGCTGCAGTCCTAGGGAGTTCTCTGCTTTCACCTTGTCACCCTCTAATCCCCAACTCGAGAGAGCCCTGCTGCCATTTTAGTGTATTTGCTCCCAGACTCCTTCGTGTCTAAATGTCTTTGTGGCATAAAGAGAATCCTGGGATATGCACCTTATTAGAAACCCATGGTTTCACTCGCAGCCGTCATGAACATCTTTAACTCTTGTGCCCCTGCAACAATGTAATGGCTATAGACCCTTAGGTACCTTTCTTCTTGTTTCTTGCTTTGAAAATGGATTTTTATGAAGGCTACCTTTTTATAAAAGATGATTGCCGACACTTTGCAAAAGTGAGATTAGGTCGTCCTTGGGTTGAAATGATGAAGTAGCTCTGAGTGTCTTTGAAAGTTCTGGAGGGATATTTTTCATTGTCTGCAAAAAAGAAAAAAAGTCCTGCTTAAAATTGCAAGACGCAGGAACTCTGTCCTGTACGGTTCTTTGGAAGTCCGTGGGAGCGCTGCACGGGGTACCCCAGGTGGGGACCAGAAGTCCCAGCCATCAGGGGCTCCGTCTCCTTGACCGGTGGGATGTGGGCCAGGGTGTGCTCAGCAGTGCCTGGATCTGACCTCAGTGTCTCTTCTCTCCCCCAGCAGACCCGCCTGTGGCCGCAGCAGTGGTGTCCCATTTTAACGACTGCCCAGACTCCCACACTCAGTTCTGCTTCCATGGAACCTGCAGGTTTTTGGTGCAGGAGGACAAGCCAGCATGTGTGTAAGTGTCCCAGGGCTTGGGGGAGGGCCAGCATCCAATTAGAAGAACATTTACTGCTGCAGGATCAGAACAGCTGGCGGAGGGCCACCTGCTTCAAAGTCATCAGTTAAAAATCCAGGTTCCAGGACCCCAAGCCTAGAACCTCCGAGCCCCCTTGGAGGCTGGAGCCTGGGACTCTGAAAACGCCTGGATTAGAGCTGCATTCACTACTTGGAATTTCTGGAGGGCAAAGCAGGGGGCTGCATACCTTTGCAGGGCCAGAGTCTCCGAGATGAGGGCTCTGCCTGCAGCATCTTCACAGCTAATAGTAAGCTGGATGTGCACACACAGGGTCCATAGATGGACGCAGTAAGAACAAGGAGCAACTTAGAAATAAAGACGAGGCCAGAGCATGTGGCTTCTGAGCATCCACCGCCTCATCGCTCCTTTAGTATTGCTGACCACTGAATTTCAACCTCCAAGAGTGGAACCTGAGGACTGTATTAGTTAAGGGCCACCAGGGATTGCCACAGTTAGCCAGGTTGGGAAGGGTTCCAGGCCTGGAGCACCTGGGAGACTTTGCAAGGCTACAACTCCGAGACAGAGAGGAGACCAGAGCCTGCTGGAGGACAGCCTTTCTCCCCTAGATGAGAGGAGCAGTGTAAGTTCTGGGAAGAACTATGTTAAGACAACCTGTCCATACTAGCACACTATACCAGGTGGGCCTATACTCTGAGATTCAGAATCCAGTAACTTCTTGCTGTGGGGCCATCTGTGCAATGTAGGAGGATGAGCAGCAGCCCTGATGGTGCCAGTAGCACCATCACCCCTGCCCCAGTTAAGAGTCACTGGTCTATATGAAATTGTCGACCATTTCTGACCTATAAAAATGCGAGTCAGAAACTGCATGTGATGCAACCTACTCACATCATAAATACTAACTGTTAATTAAGATGGTCATTGATTGAGCCTTTGCTTCATGCCAGGCACTGTTTCAAGCACAACCCATGTGTGAATTCATTTCCATGGGTAGGCACAGAGAGGTGGTGCCCAGGTCACACAGCGGAGGTCAGGTTCAATCCCTGGCTCTTGGGCTGCTGAGCACTTAACCGTGGTGTTGAAGGGTAGCAGGTGTACTCACCCAGGAGAGACTGGAGACCGGCCAGCCGGCTGCAGTGAGTGAGGGGGGAAGGGCCTTCCTCTCCCTGCCTCTCCCTGCAGGGCAGCTGTGAGTCCTCCTGCAGAGGAAGGAGATAATGGAGCACTTCCCCCGGGAATGTCTGCAGAGCCAAGCGCTGCCCACCCTCCCAGTACAGAGCCCCCTGAGGATGCTGATGCTGCGGCATAACTGGCGTTTCTCATGATTATCATTGTGATGGAAATGCACAGTGGTGGCCCCCAACCACAGACTCTGGACTCAGCATGGGGCCCACAGAGACAGCCAAGATACCCTCACAATTTGGAAACAGATGCTCCCTCCTCTGCAGGGAGGCCCCGCCCTGCAAGTAATCGCTCCTTTGTGACCTCAACTTCTGCAAAGGAACTAGTGAGGCCCTGCCTCGCCTTACACAGCTTGGACCCTCGGTCAGCATCTGCAAGCCAGGCTTCCGCGTCCATACAGAAAAATGGCAGCAGCAGGCTACTTGGCTGGGACCTGGTGGTGCTGGCCATACCACAGACAGGCCTTGCCTTCACCCATGCTCCAGTCCCCACCCAGACCCCAGCACAGAAGCAGCAGGTCGGTCCCCAGTCACCTACTAGCACGCACCCCATGGCTTGCTTCACCCATCCATGTAGCCCCAGAGGGCTTTGAGCGTCCAGCCCCTGGAC